CTGAAACAAAGGACAAAAGTGGTTAAGGGAAGGAAAGACTTACTGGTAAATAATCATAGGGAATAAAATAGTTCCAGTGAGACAGGAGGGGTCCTGAGTGTGTGGCTGCCAAGGTCATCTCTCTGAGAATGTTTTATAGGTCACAGTCAGGAGGTGAGTACAATGTGGGTCCAACTGTAATCAACTGATAAAATTACAAATATAGCCACTTAGCTAATACTGATGCAATAGGAAAGTGGGAGAATGTAGTAAGGGCGTATGGTAACATCATTAACTTTGGTCAATAATCTATAGTCTTGTCTTAAGTCTTTAGCCTTAGGAGTCCTAGTCTTAGCCCTAGTCCTTGTCCCAGACTTAGTGTGCGGGAGAGGATGGCCCACCACTGTGAGATATGGACTATTCCTATGGGAAATCCCAAAAGGGTGGCACTAATTACTATATAATCCCAAGCTTCTATTCATCCTTTTGGGAAGTATGCACATCTGCCCATTGTGACTGTATCTTGAGTCCTTGTCCTTTTTGGATGCATCTCCAGCCACAGTTTTGATGTATTTGCTTCCTCTTTACTGATTTCCTTGAGAGCTCATGCCCCAACTGTACATCCTGCCTTACAATATCTTCCCTGTGAATATAGATTTAGTGTATTGTTTCTTTTTTAAAAAATTCATTGCTTATTGGTACATTTTCAGAATATATTTTAGTTACATTCATCATTGGGAACTTGTACCCTAACACGATGTATCTTGGCTCTTATTTTTTCCCCATGTCCCTGCCCTCCCTTCAACCCCTCCACCCCTACCTATTTACAAAGAGTTTGTTTCTGTTTTTTCCTTCTTTTCATATTTTTTCCTTTTCCTTCTTTCTTTCTACTATCCTTCCCATTTCCCCTTCCCCTTTGTACCCTTTCTTCCTATTTCACATTACCTATTATACATTTTGATTCTCACTTACACTTTCAGTTTCTCACAGCAGAGAAAGTACTCGATATTTACATATGTGTGTGTCCCATTTATTTCACTTAAGAGTATGGCCTCAGTATGCATCCATTTAGCTATAAAGATAAAAATTTAGATAGAAACAGTTTCTTATTCTTTATGGCTGAGTAGTACTCCACATCAACAAAAATAAAATTGTCCAAAATAACTTAAAACAAAACTGATTTGAAATGTTTTAAATTTTATTGAACTATGATATGGAAAATGCCAATTGTATAATGATTAATTTGATGATAAAATTTCAGATTAAAGGAGCAAAAGAGTATACTTTTTCTCACTTTTTATTGTTATGCATAGTGGGAACCAGAATCACCATGATAACAAACTAAGAGTGGAATAGTATTATGCTGGAATGTTCTCGAAATTTAGGTTGTGTCCTCTTATATGGAAGAAAGAAATATTGTTAACTTTATTATGAATATGAGGAATGTGAGACCCAAAATAGGATTGAATTTGAACTTAGCCTTCTTTGACCTCAGATTCTGTGCTCTGAAGTACTAGAATAAACTGTAAGTCCAATTGTTACTCATAACGTGATTTAGGAAGTTCCTCTGAGATAATTAAAAAGAAGGGTAAAGATTATTAAAGGTCAGAAGTAATTGACTGAATGAGTATAGATTACATTTGGAGGGTGACCATATCAAACATAGACACTTTTGAGGTTGAAAGGAATTAATATTAATAAATATACAGTGGAAACAGGATTAAACAAGCTACTGTATCAGTCATATGATTTATTTACTTTTCTGGAGTGTCCAGATTGGCTTGTTGAGGAGGCTTAAAAAACAGTTTTCAGGTAGGAGATAAATGATAACTTCTTATCTTTGACTCCCTGTCAATGTAAAAATGCATTTATGGGTCAAATTTAATGTTTGCACATTCTCATTCGATAATGACTTCTTGTCCTAAACCTACAAAAATATTTCTTTTTCTTATTAGAGTAAAGGCATTGGAGGAGCTAAGATTGCCATGATGAAATTACCAAAATTAAACAGTGTGAATAAGATTAACATTTCAATAAATCACATCATTTGATTAAGCAATAAACCAGCTCTCTATTTCTATTAGTTAGGATAAACTGCTTTAAAAGGAAAATTTTGATCATAATAATTTCTTTATATCAGTGGTATTCAGTGGGGGATCATTTTGCCTTCAGAGAAATTTTTGCAATATCTGGAAATATTTTTTATTGTTGTTATGAGGAATGTTGATGGTGTCTACTGGAGGTACTTTGTGTAAACTCTTTCCCTTGACTATGATTTAGTGATTTGCTTCTAATATATAAAATATGGCAAAAGTAATATCATTTTCATGCTCAAGACATTAAAAATTATGATTTTTTAAAAAAGAATGAAATATTTTATTTATTTACTTTTTAATAAACATTAAAAATGAATTATTGTACCCAGTTTGTATTTTTTTCTCTCATTGAGTTTATTGGTACTTTTTAGGTATACAGTACAGTTACATTCATCATTGGGATCTTGTACTTTTACATGACAGGTCTTGATTCTCATTTTTTCCCCATACTCCAGCCCTCCCTTCACCCCCTCCACGCTCCCCTATTCACAAAGACTTTGTTTCCATTTTCTCATATTTTTTCTTTTCCTTTATTTCCTTTTCCCTACCCTTCCCACTTCCCCTACACCTTTATACCTTTTCTTCCTATTTCACATCGCCATTTATACAATTTGGATCTTATTTACACTTTTAGTTTTTCACACCAGAGAAACTCTTTGGTATTTACGTATGTGTGTCTTATTTATTTCACTTAAGAGCATGGCCTCAATATGCATTCATTTTCCTATGAATAACTCTAGTTTCTCATTCTTTATGGGAGTAGTACTCTATTTTATAGAAAAAAACACACCTTCTTTATCCAGTCTCCAACTCACGGGCAACTGGGCTGTTTACAAGTTCCCAGTTTGCATTTTTAAAAAAACCTTAGTTTTCAGACTGGGCATGGTGGGCATGCCTATAATTCTAGAACTATGGAGGCTGAGGCAGGAAAAATGCCACAAGTTGGAGACTAGGCCAGAGAACATAGTTCAAAGGCAGTATGAACTCCATGATGAGACCCTGTCTCAAAAAGGAGAAAAGCACTTTGTGTTTTTAAAAATTCTGTCTCTGAGATTCCTAATAGGTTTCTGTTGTTTATAAAGTTAGTCCAGCTTGTACTCCAGAACTTTGCATCGACCCACTCTGAAACCTTGCAGTATCCCTGAAGAATCTCTTCCATTTTTGTCCATTTTATCTGATTCTGATCCCATGATCATTCCTAGCTGTGCTTTTGTTTCTGTATTTACCCCAGCCAGTTACCCTTCCTCAACCAGTCTGCAACCTTTCTCCGTTTTTAAGGTCTCACTTCCACTTTCACTTCTTAGCAATATTTTTGTGATCTTCCAAGTTTTGCATATTTATATAAGTTTTATGGTTTGTCTCAAATAAACAGGTGTTCTGGAAAAGAGCCTGGAGTCATCAGAGGAGCCGCACTATGGCTGGAACACACCTTTCATAGCTTTGTTTTTGATGAAGTGTCATCTCTAAAGGCTGTTTGGAATGAAGCCATTTATACGTCAGTTTTGGTTGCTGTGTCCTTTATCTAATTAATTGAGCATGTTTTTCACCACTAAGAATCTGGCCAAGGGAGAAGTCACATTTTATTTTGTTCAACTCAAACATGTTTTTGCAAGGGAAAATTAGATAGAATTAAGAATAGGGCTTGCCCTGGAGTATAATACTCCCTTTATTTTCTTGCTCTCCCTTGTCTTGTATATTACCTCTAGTCCCTTTCGTCAAGTCACAAACATGACCTAATTACTTTAGCAACACTTTCTCCTTCCATCCTCAGTCTTGATCCACTCATAAACTGGGCTTCGTCTGAACAGTAAAGAGGAGAAAATTGCACTCCTTAATCTTTTAGTGTTTAGCTCACTGAACTGTTTCCTGTGTCCATCCAGCCTTCTTGCTCAAATCCCCATACACCCTTTCTCTATCAGAAGACCCACTGGCGATAAAATCTGAATTGGCTTTTTAAAGACTTCATATGCTAATTAAAATGTTTTCTGTCACTAAAATTTGAAAATGCATATGTATATGTAGAGAGATAATAAAATAAGATTCTCACATAACTGTCACACAGATTCAACTGCCAAGATTTCTACTATACTCAGTTTTGAAAGCCTAAATTGATCTCTCTCCCTCCCTCCTTTTCTTCAGACTGAACTGGGGGCTCCTCCCACGCTAAGCAAAGGCTCTAGGACTGAGCTATATTCCCCAGACTATTTATCTTGAAATATTGTTCCATTACATACTATAATGCCTATCATTTTTTAAATTAAACTTGTGTATTAGCCATTAAGTTCATTGCTCTATGGTATTCAGTTTCAACATTTAATTATGCATTATCAAAGGTAGTAGTGTGTAAGTGGAGAGATTAAAATTCAATAAATGAATAGAACTTCTAGGTAGTCACTTTGGACATAGGTTACAATTTGCTAAACAAGCTGTGTCTAGAAATTATTGTGTAATTCTTATTTCTATTCTATTGAATTGCCCCATAAAATAAATTTTTATCTCTACATTTTATAAATAAAATGAGATTATATGACTTACTAATAAAATTTTGCATAATTACCTGCCACTATTATTACTTGTGAGCTTCTTTTTCTCCCCATACTACTCCCTTCACACGTAGTCTTTTAATTAGTGAATGTTTTCAATACATGCTTGGATCCTTCTGTTCTTTAACAAGCATGAGAGTGGTAGAAATCTTCCTAGAAGGTAATAATACTGGTATGAAAATTATGAATTATATTTGCTTGTAACCATACCTGACTTTTTAATGAAGTAGGATGGTATTATGATATTAGCTTTAAATGTGAGTAAAAGGTTAATCATTTTCATGCCTCTCATGAATAAGTCATTTTGTTTGTGGGATGTTGTTCACAGTTGAAATTCTCTAATTAATTTTGCCTTGTTTGCTTTCTTTCCCTCTTCTTTCAGCTTTGGTAAATGTGAAACTCTGGGCCATTGATCGACAATGTTTTCAAACAATAATGATGCGGACAGGACTCATCAAGCATACCGAGTACATGGAATTTTTAAAAAGGTAAGACACTTTCCTTTGTCCTTTTGAGAGCATTTATTGTCCTTTTTTGAATGGGGCAAAATGGAGAGTTTTCACCTTTATCTCAGTCTTAGTAGCATAGCAGTTTGTAGAAGGGCAAGACTTTGGAGAGGCCTAATTATATTTCTTATGCCAATATTCAGGATATGTGTTTAAATAAAAATTTAGGAATTCCATCATGTGTCCCCAGCCGTTCAGCATTCTCTCTGGGAAGCACAGCTCAAAGAAACAGTAAGGATTTGCTTAAACAGAGAAGTATATTGAGTTCATTCTATCCATGAATATATTTACAGTACCTCTTCTAAACAGACCACACTGTGAGGCTGAGCTCTCTTGTGAGAGTTCCTGTACAAAGGTCAGATGATTATAATGAAAAATTTCCAAGGAGCTGCTGATTATATTTTAATTCTGAGTTTAATTTCCCAAATATTTGTTGTTGTTGTTTTTTGAGACAGGGTCTCACTACATAGTTGAGACTGAACTGGAACTCACTATGTAGTCCAGGCTGGTCTCGAACTCACAGCGATCCTCCTGCCTCAGCCTCCCGAGTGCTGGTATTACAGGCGTGGCTAATTTCCCAAATTAAAATAATTTTATGTTATAGTTCTGAAGGATTAAAAGCTTTTCTTTCCTTGAATCATAACTCAATGTAGGATGAGGATCAAAATAAAATATCAGTTTTTTAGTGTTTAGGAATACACTGATATTCATTGAAATAACTTTCTTTGTCTCTAGGTTTGTTTTAAGACAAATATAATATTGTATTATTTAAAGAATGTGGGCAATTCTGATGACATATTTTTATTTTTTGTACCGGGGATCAAACTCGGGCCCTTGTGTTTGCAAGGCAGGCGCCGGAACCACTGAGCTAAAAGTAGTTGTTTATATCAGTTATATTCTGAAAACAAGCATTAAGCACCAATGCACATATTTTGTGAACTAAATATCACTAAGATTTCACTTTTGAGAGCTAGAATATGAAACCACTCTTTGTTTTATATTTTTATTTTGTGTGAAATGCTTAAAATGGAAGTAACATCCCAAGTTCACATTTTGCTTAGTTATATATCTTACGAGTTATCCATTGAATTTTCTTAAGATGCAATTTTAATATTCTTGGATATTCCTTAGGGTTAATTATTTTGCTTCTGCTTCATCTTTTACACGTTTTTCATTCTCCTACATGAAATCATTTTTTATCCTTCTTCTGAAGTAACAATAAAGTTCTAATGTGATGTCAAATAATAGTCTGTCAACAGAGTGCTTTCCTTCTCAACGTGACTGGATAGACTATTTAGAAAAGGCAGAAATGCGAATTTCTATTTGAAGTTTAGAGTAGTTTGTAGGAAAATTGCCGTAGTTGAGTGCCATGTATATATATGATCCCTGAAAATTATGTACTATAAAATAGTGTGTAATTATGAAATTATATGATACATGCCTGTATATAAACATGTTACATATTCTATCTGTCTGCATATTGAGAGAGACGGACAGGAACAGAGATAGAGAAAATGAATATTCGTTGGAAGCCTAAAGTTCAAGAGGTATTGATTTCTTCTGATGGAGCCTGATAAAGATTCCAAGTGGTATCAAAGAAATGCTTACCCATAGCTATGTTATCTGTCTCACGTATCCCAACACTGAGCACCCGTGATGCCGACTTTAGCTTCCATAAATGGATTTTGTCAAGGAGATGGACCAAGAGTTAAGGTTATCTTGAATAACTCAAGAACTCTTCTAGTAGTATTGTTTCAGGAAGTGTATGTGTCTCATGCTGTGTGTGTGTGTGTGTGTGTGTGTGTGTGTGTTTTAACTAACTCTGGGTATGCTCTTTTGTGTAATGTATTCTGACAATTCGAATGTTAATAAAAGTTGGTTGTCCATAATGACTGAAGATTTTAGTTGCTCAATTTAGAAGAACAGAGCAAGTAGTTTAACTGGTTAAATAGAAAAGAGGCGGGTACTGGCTTTAATGTCACTTTCCATCGGGCCACTCAATAAAACAAGTTTACATTGTTTGTGAACACAGGACTAGGCTGGGAGTCCAGAGAGGTGACCATATGACTGTGATTGTGTGTTTCAGTTTTCCTAAATTATGACTGTGACCAGCTAGTTCTCTCTTTACAACCCTTCAATGACTCACAGTGTGAACTGAATGAGTTATAGCCTCAGGGGCTCGACATTCAAGGTCCTCCTACAGCCAGAACCAGCCAGATTTTCTAGCTTGATTGCAGCTCTCCCCACATAAACCCAGTGATTCCACAAATCAGTAAATTCCCTGTGCTCTCTTCCTACGTGTCAATGTTCAATTTTCTTTTGGTCTTTTTGATCCAATCTGAGGCTGCCTTTTCCATAGACACTGACTTTCTTCCACTGAGCAGTAACTTCTCCCTCCTCTGATGCTTCATCTTTGCTATAGGTTTTATTGTCTACTGTGATTGTAATTTCACTACTAACCTTATTTATACTTGTAAACTATAGACTTTTCAGAGCTAGGGTTATTTTTCAAGAAGTTTGTTATTCTTCTTTGCATAAAATTTCTTGCTTTGAGGATAGTTTATAGAACAGCAAGTATGGGACCAGTACATAATTTTCTTTTTTTTTTAGTTTATTGGTACACTTTAGGTATACAGTACAGTTACATTCATTATCGGGATCTTGTACCTTTACATGACAGGTCTTGGTTTTCATTTTTTCCCCTTGTCCCTGCCCTCCCTTCACCCCCTCCTCCCCTCCCCCTTTACAAACACTTCATTTCCATATTTTCATTTTCTCATATTTTTTCTTTTCCTTTATTAGCTTTCCCAGACCAGTACATAATTTTCAAGAACAATTGCAAAATGACAATATAGAGTTCTCTTTACAAAAACTCAAACATTTCACAATGACAACACATCAAGTGAACGTAGGAATCTTCTGAGTACAGTACAAGCCTTATGCTATTCAATAAGTCACATAGCCATGAAACTGAAAAAATGACAAGTGTCCATTCTTCCTTCATGTTCCCAGGTTTACTGTGCTTGGTACCATTTATTTTAAGAGATGCCATAATAATACCCAAGCTGAACAAAAAAAAAAAGGCATTGTAAAAAACTGAGAAGACCAAATTAAATTTTTCTATATAAGTACAGAATAATTTTACCTTCCTGTTTGTTGATTTCTCTAAAATAGTTGCTTCTCACTCTTTTATATCACATAAAAGGTTACTTACCAACTTACCAATCTTAAGATTATAAAAATATAGGCAATACTTTAAAGCTCTTTATAGGAATCTGTTTGCTAATAAAATTTTCGTCTGAATTTTCCTACTAGAGATGTTATATATTTTGTGAATGATTTAAAGAGGTAAAGCAATTATGACACCCCCAGAAAAATAAATGCTAGCAAACAATAATGTAAATCAAGATTTTCTCAGTGATACTTTCTTGTACATCCTAATGCCTCCGGAAATGAGGATTTTCAGGGAGAGAAACAAGGCAAGGGAAGAATGAGCCTATATCACCGCCTTTGCCCATGGTACCCTTCCTTCTCATTTTTCTAATAAACCTCTATATTTGGAGGTTAGAAAAAGGGAGCACATTAGGCACATGTATGCCCTGCTTATAGGCAAGGATATTTCCTTATTGTCAAAGTCGAGTATTTTTTGATCCCAGTGTGTTTACCCATTTTGCGACTACTGTTCATGTGGGTTGGCTGCCTCTTTGCTATTAAGTGCCACATAAAACTGTGATTCTGGCTCTTTAATCCTATTTAGTCATTTTCCTCTTGTGCCTGTATTTCATATTCCCTGATGCAAACACAGATGTTCCTATGCAAGCATACAAAATAAAAAAAAGTCAAAGGGCATGGCACAATTACTGTAGGTAAAGCAATAACAATTTTGCTAGTTGCCAACATCTTCCATCATGCCTGGCTACTGAAAAATGCTGTTGTTTTTAAGATGGATTCTGAAAAGTGAGTCACATAACTGCTAGAGATTATTGTGTTTACTGATGATGGTGGACTCCTGTTTACATTACACGATTCACTGAAAAAATTCAAGACACAGTAGGAATGAGGAATTTAAGCTTCTCGGTGGATCCTGTGGATCTTTGCAAACCTTTTTGTGGCCCACCAGAGAGTCATTTTGTAAGGCTGATGCTGATAGTGCAATCCCTCCCACATGATACCTTTCTATGGCTTCTTCCGGAGCCTAGAAGAAAGCCTGCCTAGGTCTGTAACCTAGGACCTGACCTGCTAGGTTATCCAAGCCCTACCTGCTCTGGCTATTGCCAACTTCTCCAGTTTATCTCACTTTCCCTCTTACTTTCCTTTGGCTGCAGTCAAATGGTGGTCTTTCATTTCCTGTGTGCTCCATCCTTCTTCCCAGTATGGATTGTAGCAAGAGTTTCCTCTCCCTTTGAAGAGAAATTTCCCATAGTGATCTTTGGAGGAACAAGCTGACTATGGCTGCTGCAGCACAAAAAGGAACCTGGTATCCCTCACAACATTTATAAATTTCTGATTTCCTTTTCTTGAATTCAAGGGAAATTAATAGTATTAGTCATCAAGTTACACATTATATTCCTTCATCCTCCATAGTATCCTTGTTAAAAACAAAAAAACTCTAGATTTTGTGCAGTGTAAAACTGTCTTCTTCCTTATTTTCATCACAGGGGAATTAGCCCCAGGTCCAAAGTCCAATTGGTTTTTCCTCCTTGTTCTCTAAACAAAGGTATCATACACACACATATACACACACACACACACACGCGTATGTGATGGCATTAGGATGTATAGTATATATGTATTTGTATATATCTAATTAAATATGCTATTTACATGTGCATATTGGGAGGTGATTATTACTAGGAAAAAAGTATAACCTTGTTATTGAAATATCCAACTATCATTTGATATAAAAATGGCTTTGACTTTGAGGATGTAAAGTCAGAGGGTATAACCCTCCAAATTCTACCTAGGTCCATACATAAACCAAA